GGGAGGCCCTGGCCTGTGATAGCTGGCTCTGGCTAAGCCTGACCCTGCCCCCAGCAGGGAGACTGGCCGGGGTGGGCCCTTAGCAGGTGCTGCGTTTCTGGAGTGAGCAAATGAAATGACTGTCACGGGACATTTTCACTCATTGTCTTGTTTTCTACATATTTAAGATGGGGAGGGGTCACGATGACATGTTTGCAGTAACTGTCACAAGATGGAATGACCTGCTGAGTCTGGACAGTGAGGGTCAGACGCTGACTTGGGGCTTTGTTCTGTTGTTTGGTGATGACAGGGACAGGGCGGGAGATGCCTCCGCCCCATCAGCTTGGTGAGCACCCCAAGGTCACAGCTGCTGATGGAACAGGCTAACCCCCAACTAGTGTTGGGTCTGGACGCGGCACAGTGCCCTGCCAGCCCCAGGGCCGCCCTCCAGGCAGCCGTCCTGGCTTGGTCTGCTTGTTCAGAGACGGTGGGAGACGGGCCCAGGGGACTGGCCACCGGCTGGAGCAGAGGTCAGGAGCCAAGTTCCAGAACACAGCATCCTTCCTGGAATGGCAAGACCCTCCACAGCCTTCCACTCGCTGGCTGCAGAGCCAGCCTCAAGGTCTCCGTGTCCCTGGGGCCTGGGGAGAGCAGCGTCCTGCCCCACTCCCAAGCCGGCTGCCCAAGGCCTGGCTTCCAGCTCGGGGGCTGGAAGGCCGACGGCGGGCTGCCCTGTTCTCTGACTGTGCCGTGGCTTTGCAATGGCGACCTGCAGAGACTCTCGATGCCTCAGTTTCCTCCTCTGAAACATGGTGAGGGCACCCCAAGGAGCTGAGGGGGCTCTGGTTGGCCTGGGAGTGCTTCCACGGAAGGCTCCGTGGCACCTGGGCATGTGGCAGTCTCCCTGCCTGCCCAGGGGGACGGCAGCCCCTCTCCCCACCCCGCTGCTGCCCTGGAGCCTGACCCGTCACCCAGCCAGTGTTCCCAGATGCGCTCAGCAAGCACAAAGCAGGCCCGACCCCGAGCCCCCAAGAGCGGCGCCCTCCACACGTTCTGGAGAGCAGGACGCGCACTTCAGCTTGCGGGACATGCCAGGTCCCTCGCAGCAGCCGGCAGGAGTCCCTGCGGCTGCCAGGCTGCTGTCCGAGGTCAGTGCAGCCCTGGTGGCGTGGCCCCGTGTCACCAGCCTGCGCCTGCCAGGGTGGGCAGTGGGGGGTGGCTGACACCCACATCGTGGGGCCAGGATGCCTGGGGGTTGGGTCTCAGCGCCACCTGTGGCCAGCTGGGGTCCCTGGACATGCTACTGAGCTCTCCTGAATCCCGACCACTCCTTCATGGTCACATCCCAGGGTGAAGGCGGCCAGAAGCTGGCAACACAAGCACAGAGTGCCAGATGGCACCAGACAAAGTCACAGGCTAAGCTGCTTCCTCAGACGCAGGAAGCAATATTAGTGCAAGTGGCAGGAGCGCTGGGGGCTGCCCAGGGCCACCCAGTTACCAGGCTTCTGCGGGGCCAGCAGCTTTGATCCCGCTGCACTCTGGCTGGACCTGGGGCGTGACCCCCCATACCTGTGACATCCGTGGAGAGGTGCTGGGACAGCGGCTCCCCTGAGGGATTTTATTCCCAAGGAAGGGCACGATCATGAATGCGAGTTTGGACGCCACATTGAGACACAGAGAAGGGCCCTCCCTGGTGGTGCACTGGGTACGGCACAGCCCTGTCAGCCAGCTGCAGCCGCTTCGGTGTGAGTTCAGCCCCCACAGGGTGCAGCAGACCTCTCCGGACCCGCCCGCTGCTCCCCTCAGCAGTGTATTTCAGTGAATCCGCCTATTCTGCTCCTCACTCTGGTGAATCCTCTCACTTGCCGCACCTCTAGCCTGCACCCCAGTTCTGTATGCGTAAATAAATAAATAAAATCTTGAACATAAAAGAGAAGTGACAGCTCTTCAACCCGGGGGGGGGGGGAAGGGGGCTGCTGAAAAGCCCGGAAAGCCGACCCCTGCTCACAGGGACAGCCATGACCTTCTCCGTCAGCTCTCCTGGGCGGCCTTGTTGTACCGTGGCTTCTGTGGGAGGCCAGGCTCGGGAGCCGGCACCCTGGGGGTGCTGGGGCGGGGGGCGCTGGGAAGTGGCTGCGTGACTGAGCATTCGAACTCGCATTAGGCGTCCGAGGCACTGGCGCCTCAGTCCTGCTCAGAAGCTACACCTGCAAAGACACCAGGCAGCCGAGCCCCTCAGCCCCGGGGCCGGAGACCCTTCAGTGCCAGGAATGCCCACCTCCCCGAACACGGGAGCCGTTCTCACAGCTCATCATTGGTCACGTCCTTGAAAAGCAGTTTTTGCACATCAGACAGAGGGTCCCAGGGGTTCCCAGCAGCCCTGTCTCTCACTAGACCTGCCTGGCTGGGGACGGTGTTCTCAGTTTCGCTACCTTCCTCGGCACCTTGGGTTCGGTACCTTCTCGGTGGAACAGCTGTCCACCGAATACACTGGATGTATTTGCTGAAACACATTCCTCAGTCACCTGACCGTCCTACTCACCCCACAGTGCCCAACGCGTCCGTCCGTCACCTTCTCTGGGAAGCCTTCCCAGACTCCCTGCGGTTCCACAAATGCTCCCCAGTCCCCCTCTACTTTTGCTAAGACGCTATTCAGACGACACATGGCTGATGTGTACAGCGTGCTTACGGCGTGCCAGGCTCCATGCTGGGTTCACTGTCCTAGGGCCTCCTACATCCTCATCACAGCTCTGCAAAGCCTGCACTATGGGAGCGAGGAAACTGAAGCTGGGGTTGAAGCGAGATGCCTGAGGGCACACGCAGGCGGAGCTGGGACGAACCTGGCCCAGGGAAGCCCCAATCTTCTGCTGGGCTGAGCCATCTGGGCTGGTTCACCAGGAGGCATGGACACTGCCCCCTCCCTCCACCCCCCGCCAGCGGGAGACAGCAGCAGCGTGTCTGGGGGTGTTTGGGGGTGCTAGAGGCCCCGTGGGCCTGCAGTGGGGGGAGGGCGAGCAGAGGGAGCGCGCAGGGGCGACGGGCCTGACCTTGCGGTGCTGCTCGTAGTTGCGGATGAAGTCCCGGAGCTGCTCCTCGCGGCTCTCCAGCGTGGCATACAGCTGCTGCATCTGGCTCACCAGGTCCGTCTTCTCTCCCTTCAGGCGCTTTCGGTCGGCTTTCATGGCTGGGGGACACAACTGTCGGTCAGCGCCCGAGCTCCTGGCTGCCTCCTCCAGACGCCCGGCCGGAAGAAGGGACAATAACTACCTCCTCGACTTTCCACACAGGAGGAAATAATCTTTCTAGGGATGAGAAACTTCAGAAAGATGAGGCTTCTCCCCCAAGCTCCCCATAATTTAGAGGCGTTTCCAGGCCCCTCTGTCTCAAGGGGCGCTATACTCCTCCATTTTATTGCTCTGCCCAGGGGTGGAAGTCTGTAAATGTCTTACTCAGTCTAAATCGGCTAGTGAGGCCTGGAGAGTGCCTGACCCCCGAGGACAGGCAGCTGCTGGGGTCCCCGACTCCCCAGGGGCCAATGACCCATCCATGGCTTAGCTCAGCCCACATGCCACCCCTTCCTGTTGTCTGCACAGGGAGATGACTGATCAAAAGCGCACAGCCAGCCGTGACACCGTGAATATGACTAACATAAGAAAAGATAGATAAATCAGGCTTTGTCCCAAGGACAATCTTTTTGCTTCAAAGGACCCCATCTATAAAGTAAAAAGGTAACCCAGGGCGTGGGAGGCACTGATCAAAGACAAGTGCCTTGAATGTAGAAAGAACTCTTACAACTCAGTAGTAAAAAGACAAGACAATCCAGTGAAAAGTAAGGTAAAGGATCTGAACGGACATTTCGCCAGGATATGGCCAGTAAGTGCATGAAAAGGTGCTTGACATCACTGTCATCAGGAAAATGCAAGTCCAAACCACCACGAGATTCCATTTCATGCTCCTCAGAATGGCCAAGAGAAAAAGAAGATAATAATAAATGTTGGCATAGCCTTGGGACCTGCTGGTAGGAACCGAAAGTGGTGCAGTCATGGTGGAAATCAGCCTACTGGTTTCACAAGTGATTAAAGTTGACAGATTCCTCTCTGACCCAGCAGTTTCCCTCCGAGGCATATATGTCAGTGAAATGGGAACAGGATGTGAGCCCGTGTGAAAACACGACAACAGACATCTTTGGCAACTCTAGTCTAAAAGCCAAAAGGTGAAACAGCCTAGCAGGCCATCAACAGATGAATGACTTTTACAAAAAGGAGTCACTGTCCATATAGTGGACTGTTCGTCAGCCACACAGAGAAGCAACAATTCCAGCTCGGCACAGACAGATCTGGAGAATAGATGCTGCGTCAAAGCAGCCAGTTATGAAAGTCCTCACTGCATGGGTTCCCACTCTCTGAAGCACCCACAGAGGGAGAGCTATGCAGATGGGAAGCTGGGCTGGGATGCGGGGTGCGGCCAGGGCACGGGGTTTCTTCTCGAGGTGATAAAATGTTCCAGTAGTGACTGGTGATGGATGTGCAACTCTGAGAATATAATAAAAACCACCGAAGTGTACTCCATAAATGGGCGAAGTGTATGGCTGTGAGTTATATCTTAATAAAGCTGTTACACACACGCACACACAGGGTCACATGCCATCTCCTGGCAAGGCAGGAGGCTCTTCCAGAGCCCCCAGAGACCTTCCCCTTCCTTCAGACCATGGAGAAGGGGTTCTGTGAGGCTCACCCCCTCCTCCAGGGTTCCCTGTGCTGGGAGCTATAGAGGTGGGGCAGGGGGAGCAGAGCAACTCCTCAGTCCTGGAAGCCTTTATCCTGGCACAGAGTGGTTAAGCCATCTGCCCAAAGCCACATAGCCGTGTGACGCCAAAGCCCCCACACTTCACCCTTTCTAAGCTTCCTGTCTGGTGAAGCCCTCAGAGGGCCTGCCCGTGGCTAGCTGAGGGCTCGATGCGAGGTGGGCCATGGCTGTGCCATGCTCTATACTCCCCCTGTGGATGTCGCTGCTGCAGGCCCGGCCAAAGAACCAAGACCCCTCGGCTCCTGGCTCTGTGCCCGACATTAGCTGGAGTCCTCAGGCCCTGCAGGGGTCCTGCAACCTCCTGCCCTTTGCCCTGCCTGCTCCTGTCACAAAAGGGTGGAGGCACGGGGAGCCCTGGGGAGACCCAAACAGTGGGGACACAGGTCTCTGACGGCCCTTTAAGTTCCAGCTTTGAGCTTCTCGGGACCCACGGCTGGGCTGGCTCTCCCTGGTCTGCCTGGCTGAGGAGCAGCTAAGCTCACAGGGCTGAATTCCAGGCCTGCTGGGCTGGAACCTTAAAGGGCCAGGACAGCAGAGCCTGGGGGGAGGGCAGGGCAGAGCCAGCTGTGCCCAGACCCTGGATGGTGCAGCTGCCGTACGGGTGAACCTCATTTTAAGAAAACCCAGCACGTGAAGATGTAGCCCGGTCAGGAAGAATCGGCAGGGTGCGGGCCCAGCTGCCAGAGCGTGTGGAGTTCACTGATCCTGGCTGCACCGAGAGGTGCTGGGGTCTCCCTGGTGGGCCTCCGCCCAAGCAAAGACTCTGCCACTGGGATTCTCAGCCTGGCCCCCTCCCCCCGGTCCCTCAGAGCACAGACGCTCCCCTTGGGTTGGAAAATGAACTCTCTTGGGCTCTGATTTGCCTCCCTCATCAGCCCACTGGGATGAAAACCAAATTCCGGACTTTGTTTTGGGTAACGGGGGGCTCTGAGAGGGGCACTACCTCCCTCCTAGCATTCCTGGGCCTGCCTTCCTCTTGCCAGTTGGCCTTGGGGAGGGCATCCCCCCGCTGGCCTCTGGCTGTGGGATTGTGTAGCGGGCACACGTCTCCGTGCGTCAGTGGCTACCGGGGTCTCCCTGGGAACAAGGGCAGACCTGTCACCAGGTTGTAGCTCCCCCCCAAGAAAAGAGCGAGAGCACCCCCAAACTGTTCAACTAAGCGCCCCTGTGTGCCAGGCGGCTGGGAGGGCCCCAGGGACAAACAAGACACAGTCCCTAGCTTGTGAGGCCGACACGCCCGCATGACACTGATCTATACATCTCCCTCCTTACCAAGAGGACCACGATTTTGTTTGTACCCAGATAATTTCCAAGCTCCCTCACACCTAGAAGGGGCACGTGTCACAGTTCTGGCCACTGTGAAGGACTCTGAAGTGTACTCTCAATGTTTACTTAATAGGAAACAGTCATAGCACAACCCTCCCCTCCAGAGTCTTCCTCCTGGGAATGAGGCTGTGATGGTCTGAGGCACAGCAGCTATTTTGTGAACACAAGGATAAAAGCTGAGTGCAGGAGACCAAGGGGCCTGGGCCCCTGATCGCACCAGCCAGCCAAGGACTCCTTATGACAGGAGAGAAAGAAACCCCACTGTTCACGGGGGTCCTGTTCTGTGCAGCCCGAGTCCCTTACTCACTCAGCAAGGCAGGGCACCACCCACCACAAAGGCCTGTCTCCAAGCTTCCCCCCTCGGCTCCCCAGGCTGGGGACTCAGAACACACCTGCTGAGTCTCTGGGGGATGAAAACCAGGGAAAGGTCGCTTAGAAACGAGGAGCAAGGCACCCTAGAAACGGGTGCGAGCAAGCTTGGGTGGCCTGTCCGGCCTTTCAGAACAGACACGGCCATACCTGCTCAAGAACCCTCTAGAAGGGACTGACCTAGCTGCCCCCAGCATCTCCTGCCAGCGCTGGAGTTGGGAAAGTGGGGGGGGGCGCCCTGGGGACACTGCACCTTCCCAAGCACCACAGTACTATGCTGACCCATCAGATGGGGCCCCAGAGGGTGCTGGTATCAAAATTCCTTGACAAACCAGAGCTTCGCGTGACAGGCCCCTAGAAACAACACACGCCGCTGTGCAGACGGCACCAGGGAACGCCTCTTCCTATCCCTTCGTCTGGCCAAGCTCTGCGTTCTCCGTCACGACCCTACGCTGGTGACCTCAGGCCTTACCAGCGCCAGCTGGGCCTCAGGCCCGCATGGCAGGCTGCCTCGCGGGGCCCAGCCGTCGCAGTCCGGGCTTGGCCCAGGCTCCCCAGGGCCCCCCTCCCAGCCACCCAGCTTCGCCAGGCAGCTCTCTCCAGCAGCCAGGCCACCAACGCTGCCATGGAGACGGTGATGTCAAGCCCTGGGGCCCTGCAGGATCACAGAAGCAACGGGCCAGGCTGCGGGAATGTATGGGCCCGGGGTGCAGGGGAGGATGTGGTGGGGGGCTGGGTCTTCTGCCTGCCAGAGGTATGGCCCCCCTCAGCTCTCTGAGGATGCACCTTTGCTCAGGTGTCTGGGGTGGGCTTCTCCGCGGCAAACCCCTCCATGGCTAAGGCAGCCACAGCCCCTGGCCCAGATGGGGGGGCAGGGTGGCTCCAGAGAGAGGGGGTGTTTGGCTGTCCCTTTCCTCCCCTGGGGCAAGCTGACCCTGTCCTAAGGCCTGCTGTGAGGCCACAGCTACAAGGAGAGCAGGCCGGGCAGGGGCGGTCTCCAGGGCACCCTGGGTATGAGGAAGTTTCTTGTAGCCCGTGAAGGCAGCACATAGACTCCCAGCCGGCCCTTCTGTAGGCCTCGGAGGCCCCAGCGTGAGCGTGCTGGACTCTGCGGGCTTCCTCTGGCTGCCAAGGTCCTAGGAGACCTTGCCTCGACCATCTTGAAAGGTGAGAGGACACTCGCCCCCCCCCCAACCCCAGGTCCAACCTCACACAGGGTGCCGGGTGGGCGCGTCTGGGGTTGGGCATCTGGGTTTGGCACCTGGCTGAGACCACACGAGGGTCCTGTGCCTTTTCTGCCTCAGTTTCCTAGATACTGAGACAATTTCACGCGGGACATGTGGGCGTGTCAAGCCCTGTCCTGGCCCCTGTGGGTCCTTGTCACTTCATCCTCACATCGCTTTATGAGGTCATTGCACATCAGAGACAAGGAGGTGGGCACTCTGAGGTCAAGCGCTTGGCAGCGTCCCTGGCCCAGCACCCACCTGGCTCCTCGGCTGCCTCCAGGGTCACCAGCCCCATCCAACCCTGCCCAGCCTGGCCGGCCTCACTGCTCCTGGGACCCTGCGTGGGGGTGGGGTTGCCCCTCTACAAAGAGGGGAAACTGAGGCCCTCAGCAACACCACACAGCTCAAGCTGCTGACCCTGACTGGCCTCTGTGTGTCTGCCCTCGAGCCCCTCTCA